TGCCCTGCAGCTCCTGCCTCTGCCGGGCTCCTTAGTCTCATGAAGTGACCATTAGAGCAAAATCCTCTAAACAAAAAATCCTTCACCTTTTCTTTTTTTTGTTGTTTGTTTTTTACCTCTGCAGGAGGATGTTGCTTTTTTCTGGGTTGGTGTGGGGTTTTTTCCAGTAGCTGGATTTTATTACCTTTGATAGACTTACCATCTTAATGTCAGTGGCAGAGAGCGAAAGCTTCCAGTTAATACATACTGATAATTTGGGAAGGTGTTCAGGTGCACAGGGAGGGAACTATACTCATTTTCTGAGAAAACACCTAGACAATGGAGCCAGGTTGATGTCTGAGAATCCATAATGGGCAGGAATGTATGTAACCAAACAGAACAGTCCTACCTGCACTTAAACACATGCAAGATACTGCCGTCAATGAGCCAGGGCGAATAAAACTCCTTTATTTTGTATTGTAATACTGAAAGTGTTTTAAAACCTAAAAATGACATATTGGAGAGCAGCAGATGAATGTGCTTAATTCCAGTGTCTAGCTTTCACTGGAAATCCATGCCTGAACTTCTGCTGTGGGGGTCTTTTTTCCTTCTCTCAAGCCCTTGCTCTTGTGTGCAAACATCTGGCCTGCTTGGGATTGTAGAGGCCGATTTGTTGGGAGTGCTTGGAGCACTGGGGGTAGGGTGACATGGACTGCCTTTGCTGGAGGTAAATGTGACTTCCATAACAGTGCTGGCTGGGAGCATTTCCAGTTTGCCTTCTGCTGCAAAACTTGTGGATGAGTACTGTGCCCCGTTTCCCCTTCATAGTAACTCCCCTGGGGAAGGAGAATTGGGGTCATGACTCAGTGTATAGAATCTCTTTGGGAATAGTTTAACTCAGCTTACAAGTAGAGCACTACTTGTTTAACTACATACCTACTAAAATGTTCTTTATTTCTACTGCATCTGTATTTAACAGGAAGTCCTTTCATTTAATTTAGCTATTCCTTTTCAAGGAAAAGCCCAAACTGATAAAAGCAAGTGGTGGCACTTGGACTGAGAGTGCCTGCAGAGTTGGATCTTTTTTGAAGTGCAATTTTGAAGCTTTTTTCCACTCTGGCATTTGCAAAGGTCTTTTCATTTTTGACTAAGATGTGGTGCTGCTGCAGGCTCTGGCAGAGCTCTGAAGCCTGCATGGAGCTGTGCTCATCTCTCCAGCTGTTGCTGTCACCAAGTGTCATTTTCTGTCACTTCTGTGGCTGAGCTGCATTGGGTTAATGTTACTGAAAAGGTTTTTAAGGGGAACACACAGTGTGATCCTTGTTTCTAAAGATAATGAGACTTCAGAGTGACAACAGACATGAACCATTTAACTCAGTTTGAACATCTTGGGTCAACTCTGGATTTAAGGATTCAGTAATGCATTTGGCATTTATCTGAACTATGGGTGAATATACCCAGATGATGAAAAGTTATAATGATCTGTGGTTTGTATTTACCTCTGGGTATTTTACCTGAGTTTTCACCATTAATTCATTATTCTTCAGTATATCCTAATGTTCCAACCGCCAGAATAACTTCTAACAGTAGCAAGTTTTGATCATTACATGTAAGGCCATTTTTGTGTGCTCACCCACATTAAAGTCTGAGTTTTAAAATGTTGTGCATGGGCATGGCCCAAAGATAACTCAGGTGACTATTGCTTACCTTTACAAAGCTGAACTACACAATATTTCTTAGATTAAGAGAAGAGAAGCTATTATCCAGCTGGTATAAAACTCCTGTTTTTGCAGGTTTCCAGTGGGACAATTTGAGAAGGCCCTGAGGTCATACTTGAGGAAAAAAAAAAACGGAATTTTTTTACATGTCAAGCTATGCTTACTGTTAAAGTGTTGGTGCTGGCCGTACAGAGGTAATTTGGAATGACTGCAGTTGTTGTTGCAAACTGTAACTAAAGTTCTCAGAAGATACAAGGTTGTTTTTCCCTCTGTTGTTAGCAGAATTAATTTTCACCGTCAATAATTAGAATACATCATTTTAGCGAAGCATGAAGAGTCAGTATGGATTGTATTTTGGCTTGCTCTGAAAAAACAGTGTCTCCCAACAGCTGCATGTTCTTCCTTTTCCTTTAGCCAAAAACGGCCCTATTTACGATGTTGCCTGGAGCCCCAATTCTGTCGAGTTCTGCGCTGTGTATGGTTTCATGCCTGCCAAAGCCACGGTTTTTAACCTGAAGTGTGACCCCGTGTTTGATTTTGGCACCGGGCCTCGCAATGCTGCCTACTACAGCCCCCACGGACACATCCTGGTGCTGGCAGGCTTTGGGAACCTCAGGGGACAGATGGAGGTGTGGGACGTTAAGAACTACAAGCTGATTTCCAAGCCGGTGGCCTCGGATTCCACGTACTTCGCGTGGTGTCCCGACGGGGAGCACATCGTGACGGCCACGTGCGCCCCGCGGCTGCGCGTCGGCAACGGCTACAAGATCTGGCACTACACGGGCTCCGTGCTGCACGCCCACGAGGTGCCGGCGGACCAGGAGATGTGGCAGGTGTTCTGGCAGCCCTTCCTGGACGGCGTGTTCCCCGAGAGAGCGGTGCGGTACCAGGCGGTGCCCGGCGAGCTGCCCCGCGCCGCGCCCGGCCCCGCGCAGGCGTACCGCCCGCCCGCCCTGCGCAACCGGCCCGCCACGAGCTCCAAGCTGGTGAGTGCCCCGGGGCACTGCCCGCCTGGCGCTCGGCTCCGCGGAGCTTGGCCTCGGGAGCTGGGTGCTTTTGAGAGGAGCCTGAGAACAGCACCCAGGCTGGCAGCGCTGCAGGGGCTTGGAGGGGTTTTGGTGACCTCCTTGGCACTCTGCTCACAGCTTGCAAGAATGTGTGCTAGAAAGCTCTCATCTCTTTGGCCCAAACACTGTCCTTTCACAAAGCACTTGCAGCCTTCTGTAATACTCTTCACAACACGCACTGGAACACCAAACTCATGTGGTGAAATTGAGTACTCTGGCTAGGACAGAAGCCTCTGATCTGGGTGACACAACCCTGCCAGTTCTGAACGCAGCCAGCCTGGGGCTTGAGTAGCCTCCCGACAGCCATTCTTGGGTTTTTTGTTTTTAATGAGGTAAATGTACTTATTGGAGATTGGATCATTAGCAAGTCAGCTGCAGTTTAAACACATTTCAGTACAGTGATCTGCTTGTCTAATTAGTTTCTTTCTGCAGGTTTCCAGAGTAGGCTGAGTAGAACTAATTCCATGTAACAGCTGCACCCTTAGTGTTTGGGTCCTGGAGAGCTTTGATTTTGAGCCTGGTGCTTTGCAGGAGACTGTGAGCAGTCTGTTGTTAGCCGTGCTGAGGGCTGCTCTCACAGACCATCCCTGAGCAGAGGGAGTAGGGAAAAGGTACAGTCAGTAAAATAATTCTCCTTACTTACACAGGCAAAAAGTTTTGTTGCACGCATTAAAAAAATACAGTTCCACAGTTGAGAGTTATCTTAAAAACACCAAACAGCCCCCTTTCTCAGCCCTCACTGCCTTCCAAGAACCACCCATGTCCCCTCCCAGCACTCAGCCTGCCTCTCTAGTCATCAGGAGTTTGAGCTACAAAGCTGTCAGCAACAGCAAAATGCCAGGCTTCAGTAATTTTGTGATAGGTTATTCTTCTTGGATTTTGTTTCCTTTGGGAGATAGAAAGCAGTGATTTTGTTTACTTACTGGAAAACTATGAAATCATTGGGGCACACGGGGTAGTCCCATGCATGCTCGAGTGGATGAGTTTGAAACCCTTTTCACCTTTCTTTGGCTGTTCCAAGGAGTGTGTACTTTTTCCTCCACTTTCTTTCTTTCTTTCTTTCTTTTTTTATTTCTTTTTTCTTTCATCTTTGCATATGATGTTGTCTGAGGTATATTTTAGGGTTTCTGTGCCAACATGGAATGTGGGGTTTTAACCATTTTGCATGTCCTGCAGCATGAAGATGAGCCACCCCAGAACATGAAACCCCAGCTGGGAGGCAGTGATAAGCCAGTGTCTAAAACAGCTCTCAAAAATCAGAGGAAGCATGAAGCTAAGAAAGCTGCTAAACAGGTACTGCAAAAGTCGTCGTTGTAAGAATCACGTTAATTAGTTAATTAGCTTCCCCAAAGGCAGCGGTCAGTCTCATGTGGCAGTGTGGGAAGGGCAGCCGAGTTTAAGCAGAGAAGAGCAGCTACAGAAGGGTGATTCAGTAGTAACAGCTTTGCTGAGTCGCTGCAAATGTTAGCTGAACTCAGTGTGGAGACAAGGTGATTCTGGCTTCTCACATCCTGCAGAATGTGGTTTGGTTTTAGGTAGGAGGGAGGAACAGGTGGGTGCTTTGTGTTCCCTGCAGGTCAAGGCTGAGGTGTGTATTTAGGGCAGGCCAGAGACAGCCTGTCTGTCACTTCTGCACTTACTGTTCATTGACTAGGTAGATGAAAGTCAGCTTTTGGTATTAGCCTTCCAATTACTACAAACCTCTGCCGCAATAATTTCTTTAAATGCTATTTTAAAAAATTTCTAGCACTGCTTTTGAGCCCTTTCTTTTTGCTTCACAGACAATGACCCAGTCTGCTTTGTTAAATATTTGTGTATGTATTTGTCATATCACCCTTAAACTGGTGTTTCCCTGTGCTGTGTGTGGTTGGGACCTTGAGGAAGTAGAAATTAAACAAGAAACAGCATGTGAGCTGTTCCACATAAGCCTTTGTCCATGGAAGGCAGTTCAATAGATAATGCAGTACCTCAGAGCAAGTCATCCTGAATTTTGGAATACATCCAGCAGTCTGGGGAAAGAAGGAATATAAATGGATTCTCTAAAGTGATTAAAGACATTTTTCATTCTCTTTGTAATCAAAGGCATTTTCTATATGGTGTTTCTGTGTCTACAGGAGGCCAAAGCTGATGCACCCCAAGGCCCTGCCCAGGTCAGAACCCCACAGAATGCCCTGCAGAACACTGTGCCAGCCATGACCACGGGAGATCCTGAAGTGGATAAGAAGATAAAGAATTTGAAAAAGGTGCGAAGAGATTCTTAGATTTCTAACAGACAGTATTCCCCCAAGGGCTGGTCTGTCAGACCTAGTGCAAGTGTAAGGTGAGCTGAGTCCAGGAGGATGCAGGAACCTTCACGGAATTGTCCCCAGTTTGTACCCCCCTCCCTTTGCCCTCCCACGTGTGCAGCCGTGGTGTGCCATGGCTCCTGAAGGTCCCATCAGAGGTGGCAGCACAGGGAGGAGTTTCTAAAGCTGACCCTCAGGAATGCTGTGGAGGTGCAGCCAGACCCAGCTGAGGGTCAGGGTGCCCTGGCAGGTGTTGGTGCTCAGACAGGAGCTCTGTGCCTTCCGTGGGTGTTGGGACCTTGCAGCTGCCAAGGCAACAGTGCCCTTGTGGCCTGAGTGCAAAGTTTACTGCCAGTCCTGAGAATTCTTGCATTAAATAATTCCAGAACAGAAATTCTTAAGTTCTGGCTAGAGAATCTTTCCCATTTATCTTGCTGCCTCCTGCTTCTCATAGTCTCCTGATTAACTTTCCAGGCTTTCTGAGGAGAATGTGTGGTGAAGAGGGATGGTGATGGAGTAATTTCCAGTTTTGGATCTAGCCCTTCAGTGAGACAATGCCTGATGTTTATTTCTGAGATGAAGTACTGCTGTTCCTAAGTTCTATTCCTGAACGAAATGTGGGTTGTGGGTGGGAAATTCTGGGTGAAGCATCTGGAGATGCTCAAGGGATTGTGCTTTCCATAGAGACCTGCCTCCAGACACATCAGTAACTTCTAAGATTTATTTTCTGTTCTTGTTTCACCAATATTTTTGTTTGTTTGTTTCAGAAACTAAAGGCAATTGAGCAGCTGAAAGAACAGGCAGCTGCTGGCAAACAGCTGGAGAAGAATCAGGTACGATTGAGATCTGTACAGTTTATTCCAGATTCATTTTATAATAAGCTACATCTATGACATTTTCTGCTCTAGGTGGAGAAGATTCAGAAAGAAGCTGCTCTCCTTAAGGAACTGGAAGACCTAGAACTGGGTGTTTAAATCTTCCTCGAGCTCCAGTGTGGTGCTGACACAAAGTTCATGCAAAATGTAGTTTTGTTAAACATTTCAGCAGATGACCAAGGGTTCGACAGTCCACAGATTTGCTGCTCATTTGCCTTTAAAAAAGAGTTTTCCTAAAGATTTGTGCACATGAAGCCGTAAGCAAGCGATGAGTATCCATCAGCCAGTTCTGCTGCTGTTCCAACGAGAAATGTGCTCCTTTTCTGAGAACATACTGCCTAGACCAGATTTTTTTTCCTTATTTGGGTGGGAGAAGGGAAGGCGACAAAGACATTTGATAGCTTTATTATATTTAAGAAGAGATGCGATCTTTATGCGATGACGGGCTGTAGATGAAATAAAGAGCATTTATAACAGCGAGCTGTCGGAGCGCTGTGTGCCCGCCAGGGGGCGCCAGGGGGCGGGGCTCCGGCCATGGCCCCGCCCCGCCGCGCGCGTGACCTTGGCGAGGCGGCGCGCGCGCGGTGCCTCAGCAGCGGCGGCGGCGAGATGCGAGCGGCGGGGCTGCGGCGGCTGCTGCTGCTGCTGCTGCTGGCGGGGCTGGCGGCGGCACCGGGCGGCGGCGGCGCCGCGGCGGCGGAGCAGGGCGGGCTGCCGGCGAAGAAGCTGCGCATGGCCTACGCCACCGGGCCGCTGCTCAAGTTTCAGATCTGGTGAGGGGCGCCCGCCAAGATGGCGGCGGCCAAAATGGCGGCGTCCGCCGGGCCGTCGCTTCTCCCTGCCTCGTTCCTTTTTCTTCCCTTCTTTTCCCTCAGCGCTGCGGCGGCCTCGCTCGCTCTGGTCCGCTCTGGAGCGGCCTCCCGCAGGGCCAGGGGCCGCCTCGCCCCAGGCGACCTGTCGGGGTGCCCGGCCTTGTTGGAGCGTGGGAGGCGGCCCCGGGCCGCGGGCGGCGGCTCTTTCAGTGGGTCCCGCTCTACTGCCACCCGCCATAAAATCACGCTTTTCGGGCCCTTTAATGCCGTGTATGTCGTTGTGCTGGTGCGGGACTAGCGTTTGGGAGGGACCGATGTTTTAGTAATGGCTGTAATTTACTGTGTTGGTGCAGTGCCCGTATTGCGTTCGGGCACCTTTGCACCATTCCGACGGTGTTGCCGATGGTGTCACCAGCTCCGAGCAGGTTCAGGCAGCCCCGGAGCAGCACGGAGCCCGTTGGCAGGGCGAAAAAAACTCCGCAGGCCCGGAGCACTCGTCACTCCGGTTCCCGGCCGTCGGGGTGCGCAGGGCCAGGGGGAGGCCGGAGCCGAGCCTGGGCGGGCCCTGCGGGTCCTCGAGGCACCGCAGAAGCGCTCAGCGGAAAGTGCCGCGTTCGGGGTCTTGGGCGGTTTACCGCAGTTTTATAGAGGCGGCTGCCGAAAGGCGAGGCAGAGGACAGCTCGTGAATATTTAATATTTAACTCCTGCAGTTGCCGTGTCGTGCTGACATAGAGATGGCGCTGGGAGAGACATTGCCTGTCTGGACAGTCCCAGAGAGGGATTCAGACGGCTCTATATGAAGACTTTTTCAGCACAGAGGAAGGGATTGCTTACACTGACTTCCTAAATTAATCGTAACTTAACAGATTTTTACAGGGAAAGCGAGTGATTTCATGCTTAAGTGGGTATTTCCAGAGCTCTGTGTCTGTGCTGGGATGTGGAGCAAATCGGTGTCACACCCAGGGCTTACCTGTTGGGGTTTGTGATGCGTAATTTCACTGCAGATGAGGTGTTCTCTGTGCCATAAAAAATGTGAGTTCTGTTTTGGCTTGGCGGGGTTCTGAGGAGGGTGAGTGGAGCTGAGGTGACCGTGCTGTCTGTGTTCAGTGTCTCCTGAGGCTACAGGCGGGTGTTTGAGGAGTACATGCGGGTCATCAGCCAGCGGTACCCAGACATCCGAATCGAAGGGGAGAACTACCTTCCTCAACCTATCTATAGGTGAGCGTGTGCCTCATGCTGTGTGCTCTCTGTCTGCTTTCCACTGCTAAACACATGCACTTACACTCAATACTGAAAATGTAAACTTGAGGGGATTTTCTACTGCAATTGCATACAGGGATGCTCACATGGTTTTCTTGTATGTGATTTTCTGCCTTCCAGGTAGCTGCCTTAGTTTCCCATACAAGTATCACTGTCAGTATATCTATATGATGAGGCCTGTCATATCCAACCTAAAATAAATTACATAACTTGTTTTTGAAATAGTGAATTTTCCTAGCTTTTCTTCATGCTGTATCTGGACATAAATTCAATTTGTTGTTCAGGCTTATGCACTTAGTGACAAATGCCTGTAATGGGTTAAGGACACAGAGGAAGGGAAAGTTCAGTGTTAACATCTGACTCAGGGAGAGCTCACCTCAGGTTAGGGGCTTTGCTGCAGCTGTGGGGGGAAAGCCCAAAGAAATTCAGAAGAAGGCAAAACAGTGTCATTCCTGTTACTTAAAGCAGTGTGCCCACGCTGGAGAGTGATGCCATAGTTACTGGGTGGCTCCTGGAGCGCTCGTTGGCCCGATTTCTGGCAGGGTTGTGGTGGTGGGAGGCTGCGGGGCGCAGTGCCTCCGCGTGGGCTGGCTCTGGGGAGTTGCACATCGCTGGGAAACGCTCCACAGGAAGGGTGCCCGTCAGTGTAATATGGAACAGCTTTAGAAACTGAATCTGTTATCCAGGCATAAAGGCAAAGTCCTATTTGAAGTCTGCTGAGGAGCAAAAGAATCTCTCTGTGGTTTACAGGAAGGTAGCTTTCTGGGGTGCTGTGCAGAAGCACGGCCTTATTGGAGGTGTTGTTATGTGTGTTGCTTTTTTGTTTTGTTGGTTTGACTTGGTTTTGGGTTTTTTTACAGTGAGATAAACCTTGGAAAGTTTTGTACTTCCCTGAAACATTTGATTGTACTGTCTGCTAGTGATGTGAATTACAGTTGTGTATGGTGAAGTAGGAACTGAACCTTTCAGTCACTGGTGTGTGTTGTCTCCAACAGGCACATAGCATCCTTCCTGTCTGTCTTCAAACTAGTATTAATTGGCTTAATCATCGTTGGCAAGGACCCATTTGCTTTCTTTGGCATGCAAGCTCCAAGCATCTGGCAGTGGGGCCAGGAAAACAAGGTAAAGGATATACTTCTTTTAATCTGAAAAAGCAGCTTCAAAGTTACTTCATGAGGGTGCACTCTGGGTCCCTCAGTTCTGACTGATTTACCTTTCATATGCTGCAGCCTTATGGTAGAATAATTCTTACCAATTGTGCTTTATGCTTTTGACAAAGCCAGATGTGCTTCTGTGATCTCTTTCCAAGCTGCTGCTACTGCAGAGGAGCAGCTGAGGTTAAAGTGCTGACAGAGACGATAAAAGAGTTCTTTATTTTTTAGGGCTCAAGAAGAACATTTAAAGCCAATATTGTTGATGTTAAAATTACCATTTCCCTTCTCTGTTGTCTCATAATGGTTTTGCAGTTGATGCTTCCATCAGACTCCTGATAGATTAGGCAGCAATTAGAAGGGCGTTAGAGAAATGAAGTTGAAATGTTGTGGGTGTTTTTGGAGAGCAGACTGGCATGACATTGTGGGAGAATATTCCCATGCGTCAGTACTGATGATGCCAGTAGATTCAGAGTTTTGTACTCTGATTTAGAGTAACCTTGTTCCAGATTTATTCCACTAAACTAAACTAATTTACAGACCTTCATGCTGAGCTGCCCAGTGCCCTGGGTCTTTCACTGGCCAGTTTGCATGCCCAGAAGCTGTAATATTTCCATTTGAATTAAATGGGCCAACTGCGTGCCTGGCTGGACTGGCTGCAGTGCGTGGCTGCTGTCCTGTGCCAGGTTCTGTGGTGTTGCAGTGACTTGTGTGAGTGTGCCTGTGAACTGGAAAAGGAAATTAGAGAGATGCTGGTGGTGAGGAGAAGCTGCACTGCTGAAGACGCTGTCCTTTCCTCCTTAGTCACCTATGCACAGAGAAAATTCCAGATGAAGACTTGGAGGTGTGCAGGAGGGTCCTGTGCATGTGACTTGCCTTGCTCTGCTGTTTGTGGCTGGGCCCTTGGCTCTGTGATCTGGAGACTGCTGTGACAGTGACAGGCTGTGTCTGGGGACAGGGGAGTTCCCACGTCACACTGCCAGCCCCCTGCAGCTGCCTGTGCTGGGTCCACAGGGGTGCAGAGGGCTGCGAGTTGGCTGGGGTTGGAGCTGGTTTGGTGCTTTTCTGGGGAAGGCAAGGTGCACTTTGTAAAAGGAGGAAGGGGAGGTGTCTGTAGATGGGAATATTCCTTGAGCAATGACAGAGGGAGTTCAGAGGCAGCTCTGGACAACAGCAGGTGTGCCTGACATGGCTGAGGTCTGTGTGGGTCTCTGTTCCCTTCCAGGTGTACGCCTGCATGATGGTCTTCTTCCTGAGCAACATGATTGAGAACCAGTGTATGTCCACCGGGGCTTTTGAAATCACTTTGAATGGTGAGCTGAGACTTTGTTTGAGGGGTGTCACATAACTCATGTGAGGGCTGTGGGGTGTGGAGAATGAGGCATGATGTCAATAAATTTATGTCCCAAATGTGATATGTGGAAATTGCCATCCATTTGGATCTTCAGGTGTTGCCTATCAGAATAAATCATGAAAATCATAGGAGTCTTATAAAGCAATTTATACAGATGTCAGATATTCTAGAACAGGTCTGCAAAAACTTTCTCAGAGGGATATTTGGTGCCTTGAAAAAACTGTGTTATATTCTTTCTTTGTGTGTGATGGGCATTAAATAAGAAACCATCAGCTAGGGGCATGTACTTTCCAATTAGATGCTTTTCCTGTCTGTTCTGCAGCATGCTTTGGAATCCTAAAGAATCCATTACTATTGCCGGATTATCAGTACTGATGGACAACAGTACTGATTTTTCAGGTAGAGGGGAATGTCAGTGGATATTCTGCACCTCTCCATCAATATGATGCACTTCTAAATGGAAGCATTAGACACTCTGCTCTCCTAGTTGGGCTAGGATTCAGCATAACCAGAGGTTGGAAGCATTGTTGATTCAGATGCTTTCCTCAACATAGATCAGTACCAGCTCAGACAGTTTCCTGGAGCTTTTCAATTCCATATTTACAGCAGCTCTGCCTGTTTTCTGATGCTCCCAGTGTAACAGTGCTTCTCTCCCGTGTGTGTTCTGCACTAGATGTCCCAGTGTGGTCTAAGCTGGAGTCTGGCCACCTCCCCTCCATGCAGCAGCTTGTACAGATCCTTGATAACGAGATGAAGCTCAATGTGCACATGGAGTCAATGCCCCATCATCGATCATAGCCCCATCGATCAGCACTGAAACTTCTCGTAAGTCTCCTCCAGTGTGTTTGCCTACATAAGACGGGCACACTGGAGATTGGATTTTAGGATTGTGTGTTTG